GTTGCGATTCAGTTGGTTTGCACCAGTGTGGCCTTACCAGTTGTCTTAGTTATCTAGTGCGTCTATAACACAAATACCAGAAATGGATGGCTTTAACAAAGAGAAATTTATTCTCTCACAGTCTGGTAGGGTAGAAGTCCAAATTCAGGGTGCCAGTTCCAGGCAAGGCTTTCTCTCTCTGTCATTTCTGGGGAAGATCCTTGTCATCAATCTTCCACATTCTAGGAGCTTCTCATTGCAGGAACCCCAGGTCCAAAGGACACTGTATGCTCCCAATGCTTCTATCTTGGTGATATGCAGTCCCTCTCCTCTCTGCTCAATTCTCTCTTTTATATCTCAAAAGAGATGGACTCAAGATACAACCTAATCATGTAGGTTAAGTCCTGCCTCATTAACATAACTGCTTCTAATCCTGTTTTACTAATATCATACAAAAAAAAAAGTTGCCGTCGAGTCAATTCCAACTCATAGTGACCATGTAGGACAGCGTAGAACTGCCCCATATGGTTTCCAAGGAGTGACTGGTGGATTCAAACTGCTGACTTTTTGGTTAGCAGCCAAACTTTTAACCACTGTGCCACCAGGGCTCCCATTAACATCATAGAGGTTAGGATTTACAACACATAGGATAATTACATCAGATCACAAAAAAACCACACAGTACTGAGGATCATGGCCTAGTCAAGTTGACACACATTTTAAGGGGATACAATTCAATCCGTAACACCAGTTATTTACAGCTTGTGTCTTCTTTGATTGGTCATGACTTATGCCACACTAGGCAAGTATTTTGAAAAATACTCCCAGCTAAATGTGCAAGATAAGAAGAGGTAGACCCAGTCAGGTCTGATTTTTGTCTCCCTTTCTCCAAGCTCTGTATATTATACATTGCATCTAGGCTCAGAAAGGGAAAAAACTGCCATTTCTTTTACAGAGGAAATGACTAAGGCCATGCCTTCATAATGAGCCCACAAACAAAACTTTTCCTATGTGTGGCTCACCCACATGGGCTGAGGCTGAGACCCATTTAGGCCTTGGAGGCAAAGCTTACCAGAGTATGCCCTGATGGGCTGACCCTGGCTGTCTGGGAGAGTGGCTGAGGTAAGCACAACTGTTTGTTCACCTCAGTTCACCTTAAAATCAGCCCTTTAAAAAATAAATAAGGTATGTTGATCTTTTGTGTGATGGTTAAACAAATCAAGTGGCCCAAAATGAATTCCAGGTAAAGAGGAATAATAGGAATTATCTGAAGGCAAGCTGCTGATTTAGCAAGAACTGGGCCTGGAGAGCCCAGCAGCCTCTTTGTGCCCAGAGCTTTCTGGGCACAGCAAAGCCCTTCTTCTTGGCGAGCCCCTGAAGCTTTGGTGGCTGTCTGAGATGATTTCAGTGGCAGGGGATTAAGGAGGCAGCACCTGCCTGGCAAAGGGAAGAATGATTGAGAATATATATGGTTTCCGTTGAGGAAGAGATGGAAAGGACTGCTGACCACAGGAGGGTTTTGATGGGTTTGACTTAGCTGCTGACTGATACCCTGTAACCTTCATCCCAGAAGCATCAACTCCCTGACCTCGAAGACTAAGGTAAGGAAGTCAGATTGGATTCAAGTTAGCTCTTTGTGTGCTTCCCTCCCTCCTCCCCCAGCTCTCTCCCTCTTGCTCCTCAGATTCCTGTGTCTCCTCTCACCAGGTAAACAGGGAAGCTGCTGTGCTTCAGTAGGGAACACCCTGGAAGGGGGTCAGGATGCCTGCTTTGATTCTGCTTCCCCGAAACTGTGTGACCCTAGACAAGTAGCTTAACCTTTCTGGTCTCTGTTTCTTCATCTACTATTTGAGGGATTTGGAGTCGTGGACGTCACAGACTCTTCATGCTAAAAGAGATCTTAGGGATCCCTTGTAGTTGTTAGCTGCCATGGAGTCAGCCCTTGACTAATGGCAACCCCATGCACAATGGAACAAATCACTCTGCAGTCCTACAACATGTCCATGATCAGTTGCAGATCCATATGGTTTTCATTGCCAGTTCATCTTACTCTGGAAGCTCCACTGAAACTTGTTCAGCATCATAGCAACACACAAGTCTCACTGACAGATGGGTGGTGACTGCACATGAGGTGTATTGGCTGGGAATTGAACCCAGGTCTCCTGCATGGAAGGCTAGAATTCTATCACTGAACAACCACTGCTCCCTCCCTTAGAAATCTAGTCCAATCTATTTTGTAGATAAAGAACTTAAAGCTAAAAAGTTAAGTATCTTGAATAGCAAAGAACCTAGAACCTGGGTGTCTTGACTCTAACTTGGAAGTCATTCCGTTAACAATAGTTCACATGTCAGAGTGCTCATATTTACTCCTTACAACAAACTTCCGCAGTAGATATTCTATACTCATTTTACAGATAAGGAACTTGATTTGCTTATTATCCCTCAGCTACTGAGTGGAAGAGCCAGGACTTTGCCTTCCAGTTGGGTGCTCTTCCTTCTGCACACCAGCTACCTCCAATTAAAAACCCAAAACCCACTGCCATCAAGTCGATTCCAAAGCAACTGTATAGGACAGAGTAGAACTGCCTGATAGGGTTTCCAAGGCTGTAATCTTTACATTGCTTGCTGACAGTAAAGAGGACTTGAAGCACTTACTGATGAAGATCAAAGACTGCAGTCTTCAACAGAAATTACACCTCAACATTAAGAAAACAAAAATCCTCACAACTGGACCAATAAGCAACATCATGATAAACGGAGAAAAGATTGAAGTTGTCAAGGATTTCATTTTACTTGGATTCACAATCAACACCCATGGAAGCAGCAGTCAAGAAATCAAATGACGTATTGCATTGGGCAAATCTGCTGCAAAAGATCTCTTTGAAGTGTTAAAAAGCAAAGATATCACCTTGAGGACTAAGGTGTGCCTGACCCAAGCCATGTTATTTTCAATCACCTTATATGCATGGGAAAGCTGGACAATGAATAAGGAAGACGGAAGAATTGATGCCGTTGAATTATGGTGTTGGTGAAGAATATTGAACATACCAGGGACTGCCAGAAGAAAGAACAAATCTGTCCTGGAAGAAGTACAGCCAGAATGCTCCTTGAAGTGAGAATAGCAAGACTTTGTCTCACATACTTTGGACTGTTATCAGGAGGGACCAGTCCCTGAAGAAGGACATCATGCTTGGTAAAGCCAGAGAGTCAGCAAAAGAGAGGAAGACTGTCAACAAGATGGATTGACACAGTGGCTACAACAATGAGTTCAAACAGCAACAATTGTGAGGATGGTGCAGAACTAAGCAGTGTTTAGTTCTGTTGTACATGGGATTGCTATGAGTTGGAACCAACTCAACGGCACCTAAAAACAACAACAGCAATCTTTCCAGAAGCAGACTGAGACATCTTTCTGCCTTGGATCAGCTGGTGGATTTGAACCGCCAACCTTTAGGTTAGCACTGCCTCCAATTACCTTCAGAGAATCTCGGCCACACACACCTACAGGTGCCTTGTTTTATGTTGGCACCAATCCCAGCAGGAGCAAGAATTTGATTCTTGAGAGCAGGCAGTTTCAACACAGGGGAGGGAACAGGCAAGCAAAAGCAGTTCTTCCAATCAGCTGCAGAAAAGAAGTATTCATCTTCCCAAGGTGAACTCTTTTTCAATGGAAGAGATTTTTAAGCAAGAATAGTTTACGTATCTGATACTAGAAATAAACTGTTTAATCAAGAATGGATCAAAACAAATTGGGCCAGGTGTACCCTAGCACAGCTGGGTGGCAGCTGCCTCTACTCGTCTCCATAGTGAGGATTTATACGGGCTTGCTGCTCTCTTCCTCACCCCATATCCCTAACTTAAAGGGCCAGATGCACCAGAACCAGGGGTCCTGAGTAACATCAGCACCTCTCAGGGTTTTAGGGGAGAACCTCTTCCTCTGGATAAATTGAGGCCTCAGTTAGGGCATCAATGCCTGCTCTGGGCAAAGATGAGACACACTCTAAAATGCACTCTAAAATCTCCCAAGGGTGAATCTAGAATAAGTTCAGGTCTCAATGTCTGACAGCATCAACCGCTATTACAGCCTTGAGTCTTGATGAATGACAGGTCAATATCAAGCTGGGAGAGAACCGGGCGGGGGAAGTTATTTGTATTCTTTACATCAGCACTGTCCAAGAGAAATATAATGCGAGCCACAAGGATAATTTTTTTGAGTAAAAATGTAAAAAGAAACTAGTGAAATTTATTTTAGTAATATATTTGATTTATTCCAATGTTTCCAAAGGTATTAGCATTTCAATATGTAATAATATAAAAAATTAGTAGTGGGATGTTTTACATTCTCTTTTTCATATTAAGTCTTTGAAAGCTTACCCTTACAGCACACCTTGATTTGGACAAGCCACATTTCTAAAGCTCAAGAGCCACATGTGGCTACTTGGCTACAGTACTGGACAGCGCAGTGTCAGATGACCACTGAGGCTCAATGGGTGTCTGAACTCTGTGGGCTCTGAGGTCACTTTCAACATTGACATTTGGCAAGTCTGAGAGTGCTAAGGTAGTTGGGGAAGCTTTCATCCTGTTTCCAGTATTCAGAATAGAAACACGCAGCAAAATACAATCACAGCTCCCCTCCTCCCGCATCCACCCCCTTACCACGAGCAATTAACAGGCTAGGATTAGCGCTACAAAGACACCTGGTCAAAGTTGGAAGCAACCGCTCTAGTACCTTGATAAGCCTCCACCCCTAGCTGTCAGCAGTGTGTATGTACTGTACCAACAGAATTCCTGCCTTCCACCAGTGTGACTGCTGCTGCTAGGAGTTCCAGAGCTAATTATTAACAACGAGCAAATTCACCGAGAGCCAGAAACTACGTCTTACTATAAGACTCTGCATTTTCTAGAACCATTTCTCCATGAGGCCTTTGCCACCAGTGGGTTCCCCCTCAGGGCCCAAGACAGAGAGACAAACATTAGGCCTGTAATTTCAGTTAGCAGAGTTGCAAGCCTAAAACTTCAGGGAACACGTTTAGAAGTTTTTTCTACTAAAGTAGATTTTCCCACTTGACCTCTCAACCAAACCGATGTTTTGGGAGAATAAAATCACACTGCCTTAGAAGGAATTGGGGCAGTCTAGCCTGATTTGTGGAGCATTTGAAGAGAACGTCCTTCATTTTATAAAATAATTATAAACAATGGTAAGCTCTTAGGAGATTGTTTTACTAACTGCATATACCCACCATGAAGTTAACACATCCTGGAATTTAGGTTGGAAAAGATGTGGGAAATCATTTTGTCTCCTCTCACTATATGGATGAGGCATTTGAAAATAAGAGAAAGTCCATGCCTAGAGAGCAAGACCAATGACTCCCAAGTCAGTAGGCTTCCTGCTCAATGAGAACAGAAAGCCAGAAGATGCTTCATAATGTCCTACAATAGGTGTTTCTCTGAAGTCTTTTAATTTGGTTTTTTTATGCAAAACAAAACTTTTCTTTATCGATATAATTCAGAGGTGGACCTTAGCCTAAGGCATACCAAAATAGCATCGTTCTAAACAAATAATAACCCCTACATTTGCTGAGCACTTAAGATATACATGACGATTCACTCAACTTGACTAAACTGCCCAGTTTCCTCATATGTAGCAATTACAGGGATTACCTCCATAGGTACCTCATGGATACTGGTGTTATTTTTAAAACTGAGCATGTAAAGTGCTTAAAACTCCACCACCTATAGCCTTAATGAGTCCTACTCTGGCCAAGTAGAACCACACCTTGTGAGGAAGGGAAAGAGGTAAAGTGCAGCCAGGGCTGACCTTACAAGTAGACACAATAGGCACAGTTCAATGACCCCCATGCCCATGCTAATTCAATCATTCTAGTTCACCAGGTTTTTGTTTTCATTGTTTTTTTTCTTTCTTTCTTTTAACTCTTGAAAGTGTAATAATCCCTTCGCTTAAAGGCAAATACTCCTTTGAGGGATAACCTTTTAATCAGTCAACCATTTTCAGGAATTCCTTTACATCTTTCCTGGAACCTAAAAAAGTAAGATCTTATAGGTGGGCAAAGGAAAAGACCAACCCTCTGCTGCCTTAGAACTTAGATCATAGCTAGAGATAGTCATTTGACATTTAGTTTTATCCATCCCAGTGTGACTTTTCCTATAAAAATAAATCCAAGTCTTCTTGGAGTTTTCTTATTTCCATTGGGAAAAATATTTTGATCATTTTTATGCCCTAAGTGAGTAACTTGGCAAAGGAAGAAGATGAGGCCCCTCAAATACCATACTTAGGTTGTACGTTGTTTCTCAGAGATTCACCACAGGCCTCCTTCTGCCTGTAACCCTGAGGTTTAGACACGTCACTCAGTTAGGGCTCTCTATCTAAATTAAACATATAAGATGCCCACATGTGGGTCTAGAGCAGACCACAGATGAACCAGTGTAGGGTCAGTGTTTCATTTCAGCTCTATGGCCCTTCTCCAGTGTGAACTGGAGGGAAAAACACAAGGAGCCTAAGGGACCTTGTTTTCTGTGTCCTGGAAATCTTTGGCCTTGATTGAACTAAAATGAGGCAAATGTTATTTGCTCTTTGGGAGGG